GCAATCTTGCAATCTTTGTCTCCAAAAGGTAAACCAGTCGGCGAGCAAGTGGGGCAGGGGCAAGATGACCAAGATTGTCAAGACGGGTCCGCACAATAATTGTTCCAAATTCCCGGCACAATGCATTAGTAAGTTTTCTAAAAACATGTAGCCGGCATTTCACTATTATCAAACAGTTATATCTAATGCAGTTGTATTACACATGCCAAAACCCGGTCGACACTTGTTGGATGTTCAGTATTGGCCTATACAGCTACGTCTAGCTACTGGTTTATCAAGAACGGGAAGAGGTAGATCAGCATTCGCCGAGTAACTGCTTAACACTTGATGTTCGCATTTGTGTATATATATATACATATGTACATACAATGCCCAAAAAACTGTAGTTGGTATGAGCTTACTGTTCATAGAAGTTGTGCAGCTGATATGCAACGGGTGTTGAATGCATATTCAATCATCTGTAACATATTCAGAGTTTTCATCAGCATGTACGGTTCATAGTTCAGTCAGAACCATTTAAAAATACTTCACGTATATGTATTGATTATCTAAACTATGTTTTTTCGAGTACTCTTTGCGGGTTTGACTATTGTACGCATCTCTGTGTAGTGTACAAGTTTGTAGTTAGGTGAAAACCCAATATTGGACAAATATGTGCCCAGCATATACCTTTTCCACAAATTTTAGGCTGTGCTTCGCGATCACACATGAGTAACGAAACCTTATATACATATTCGTGCCATACGCGTTGTTCAGCTTTGCGCTTTGTACGTCTACTTTCCCGCTTAGCAGAACGGAAAAATTCAAATCGCGTTCAAGTTATACTCCTAACGTGCGATGTTGATACAAACCTTATTCAAAATTCCATTGCTATCAACTACGCAGCTATCATAAAACCAACAATAAACGATTGCTCATTTACATCGGATCAGAAGCGAATGTTGAAATGCTCCAGCCACACAGCTGCTTGTTAATCGGTGTTTGTTTGAGCCATAGTTTCTTCGGTGTTTGACAACATGTCTAACTACGTAAGCAACATTCGAATTCGCCTTGTTGGGGTTATGTAAACAGCTGTTTCGAAACTAATGAACCCTTGGCTCAATGGTTCGACTTGTTCTTGATCTCCTCATGAATGAGATAAGCGTTAGCTTCCACCTAAACATGAAATAGGATTTACCCGACTTACCTGCCGATTGTTTCTCGTTTGAATTGTTGCAATAAGCTAGCTATTCCAGTTTTTGTTGAAGTTTGGATGTTCATGAACATGTCCTGTGAGACAGAACACATGTATCGTAACTGCTATCGAATAGCTAATATCTCATTAAAGTACATACTTGCGTCACATGAGTACCCCATGAGCACGAATTAAGCATGAGGCCAAACACTGTGAACTATTCAGCCACTACTGACCTACTGTTGAGCATATTCAATCGATCACAAATAACAACACATACAGCTACTACTGTATTCGAACACGAGATGAAAAGGAAAATACTGGTAAGTCTTGCATTCGTGCGACAGGTGCTTATTCGAGGATATGCTGTCACTGCACGTATGTGAGCCTGTGAATGTCTTGTCGAAACACATTCGTGCTCGGTGTCCTTGTACAAGCTTGAAACTGTGTTGGCCAGGAGAGTACACTGCAGGCTACGTGGTAGGTCCCTTGAGGAGGGGAAATGGTGGATCCTTGCGTGGGGGGGGGGGGATCAGATACAGACACATGTATGTATATATATATATATATGTATATATGGTAGATCTTTGGGGGTGGGGGTACCATATATAT